CAATTGTAAATTTGATGTCGTCAGAAATGTTGTCGGTTAATTTGTAATTGTTTTGCAATTCGTTTTTTTCATGATGACAAACGCGTCATCTATATACCTGACCGAAATTTTTGGCTTGATAATCAGTAATACCACAGTTTCCATTCTTTGCATTACGGCTTCTGTAGTTAGTCCTGATATAGGTGATCCCATTGGTGTTCCTTTTGTCTGTTTGCAGAGTTTACTGTTGAAGTGAAAATACATTGCAAGACATAAATCAGTTAATTCCATCACACTTGAACATTGCAGTTGTGTGTTCTGAAAGGTGTGTATCATTGTTGAGAAGAGTCATTGTATCCTTAGCCAGTTTTGATTCACTTGAGGTGTACAGAGCTGTAACATTGAAAGACACCATCAGTTTGTCGTTGTCAATATGAATATGTTTGGTCTTTTCCAAAAATTGTCTAAGAGTTAATCGAGTGGTCACATGATTCTACCAGGTGTTTAATTTTTCTGAAAAGTTCTTTTGAATGATCGTATGTGGGGGTTGCTGGAAGTGAAACAATTGGTCCTACAAGACCAAAAATTGTCCATACTACTCAGCCCTGCAGTTATAGACGGTTATTACCGAGTTATTTGGGCTGATATCCTGTAAGACTAGATTAGGTACACTGGTTGGTCACTAGAGGGTAACTATCTTCATATCGTCTAGTTCTAGGTGCTGATCAAATTCTGTCGATCGCTTTTTTAATGTGCCCACCAGATTGGAAGACCCACCATTGTGATACATTGAGATAGATGCTAGCTAGATGCAGGAAGTCATCAGGAAGTCCTTTACCTGGGTTTCGTCCCTTCTGCTACTCATCAGTGGAGCATATATCTACAATTTGTCACCTGAGATTTGAACTCGAATCGACCTGTGTTGCAGTCAGAGACTAGACAGCATGAAGTTGGTTACCCTTCAGTCATCAATCAAGGTATATATGTATAGTGTGGTTTTCCGTACATAAACGCAGCGGTAGAAATGATTCAAGCTTCATATTAGTTCAAAAATGAACAAGGAGAACCTGCTATGCTAGCGGTCGAATTTCAACGAAGACAAGACGGTGATTCATACATTGGTGTTAACAGAAACTTGCCGCACTCCAAAACATATTTAGACTGTGAATCACTTAAGGCAGGTTTTGTCTAACTTTTAAACAATCAAGTCAGGAGTTCAACTAGCAACGCTAAAATCATTTTGAAGAAATAAAGAAGTAAGGGAAACATTACTACTTAATAAATATCCCCAGGAATTCATTTGAAAATTGATAGGAAGCTATAAAACACCGAAGTATCAATGTAAGGAACAATTGCAGTACACTTTATGAGTTCAAGGCCTGTACTATGTTTTGTACAAGGATAGACATTGGGAGCGTTATTTAAGATTTACAATAAGAATGATATTAGGGCAGCAATCCAACCTAGAGATTCACTCAGCAACAAATTTTGTTGGCTTAAAGACAGATCAGTCTAACCTAACAAATACCTTACAGTGACTATGAGACCAAGTGGATAGGTCAGAGTAATTCAACTGGGTCAGCCAGGCTATCAGAACATACGAACCTATCTAAGTCTAGATTGACGAACCCTGCTAAGATGAATAATCTAGGGTAGAATCCAGCTATAGCTATGCATGTGATAACACAACCATACCATACGGGAGAGGGAACAGAATAACACTCCTAAAGACTAATATAGTAAGATGAAAAGTGAGAAGCCAATCACCGAATCTCTATTCATCAAACAAACACCAAACATGTGCAACCGAACTGACTGAATCATAATCAAGAATGCTTGAAAAGCAGTTATATTACCAAAAAATCAGATAATAGGAAATAGTAAAGCTGTATAAACCGAACACGAAAGCCGGATGATCATCCTGATATGGTTAATAATAATAATTAATGTTCAAAACGTCGTCCAATAAATGATACTGTATCACTGCACACAACTACATCAAATAAATCTTGTCACTGTAATATAAATTCAACCTTTTTAAAATATCAAAAAGGAATTTTTTTTTCGGATATTTCGCTGGATGTCACATAGACAGAGATAGACAGAGACAGAATTTCTTGTGATTCCTTCCTTTGATAAGCTTTAAAGAAATGAGAACTGAAGTTTTAGTAGAATAACACGTGCCCATTACATTTTGAAGCTTGTCATCCGCTGCTTACTTTCTACAACAATTTTAGTATCAAAATATACAAAATGTCAACATATTTGGATCAGTGTGATCAAAAATATTGACTTGGGAAAAAGACACCATTGATATTATGTAGTTCATGCAGTATGAACTGAATGATGAGAGTTACAAGAAGTGGGGTTAGGATTAGCTACGTGGTTCGAGGGCTTGCAGAGAGTGGACTAACTATTCAACCACTTGATTGGGATCTTATGGTCTACATCTTCCAATTTCTTTCAATTTGTGATACAGCGCGACTACCCACTAAAGTCTTCACTTGACATCCACTTTACTTCCGACTGCTTAACCCCCCTCCCTCCCCCCCGGTTACGGCTCCTGGTTAGAATTTCAAGGTAGCCATCTCGAATCACTTCTCTAATAAGCGCCACTCAGTCATGTAGTTTACGGTTTTGGGGGAGTTCACTTGAAGGTATAGCTGTGGAGTCCCACGATGTACAGTGCTCCCAAGTCTTCAAAGGTTCTCCAAAAGATTTCAGCCTTAGATGAATCCTATCTTAAAAGTAGGATAGTCTGTTTTCATGTATAAGGAGTTCAATCAATATTTTGTGGGAAAGAACGGAAGCTGGACAACAAAGGGGGATAAATTTATTACACGTAATCAGAAAAGTCTTACTTTAAAGTATAAATAACGATTTACATTATCTAAGAAATAAAAGCTGAGTATAATTCAGAAGACAAGGTCGACAGTGGGAAATGGAATGCATAACAGGGTTTCATGAATTGATAATGCCATATAAAGTATTCGGGATTGGCATTAGCGATGACGGCGAGATCCCCAAGGTAGAAAGAGATGACATTTCGTTTTCAATCACTTAGTGGCTATCATTTCAGCGAAATGCAACAATTTAATGCAAACACAAAGAAAGTTTCAGTGCTTATGAGAATACGATAAAGAGGCAGTTAACCAGTTCCTTGTCATCACTCTGTCAAAAAAGTAAGCTGATCCGTAAGTTTCTTGTGCTGATGAGGTAAGTGACAAACACAACGGGATGTAACATAATCGTTGGAGTTTACGATGAACCATACGTTTTGTTTTTTCAACTATGATAAGTTTGGCTTCAAAATGTTCTACTGGCGTCAGATCTTATATTATGTCATGAAGACGTAATGTCCACTCCATTCTGCTTGGTAGAGTGATATAAACACCTTTTGTGGGATGGAGTACAAAGTAGGCTTTGATGTTAGCTGATTTATACGGTGGTTTGATAGCCTTAAGGAATATTCTTTTTCGATAAATGTTAAAGTCAGTAATCTGATGTCTACAACCACTGTATATGATGTACAGGATACTTTGAATCCTTTTAAACGGATATTTCATAGAAACTGACTTGTATTATAAAGGCATAGTTACACCTATACCAAATCAAGTAGATCAACTGCTTATTACAGAAATCTTCCTTTCTAACCCAGGAGTATATGCAAGAATGCCATGTGGGTGTGACTTTCAGTTGAATATGTGAGCCTGACATGGTTGCGTAGTGTTGAATCTTCCTAATAGACTGATAACGTTCTCATGTTTGTCACGCAAAACTATGATGTCATCAGCACATCTCTTAAAGAGGGGAGCTATTATTATTAATGTTTGTACAGATGATATCAGTGTTTCGCTCAAATCCATACTCAGGTTCACGTTAATTCTTCAGCTCATTAAATTTTTCCAACTTTCCACAAGTTGAGTATCCCTAGATAGATCTACATTGCTCTGACTTCATTTTTGTATGTGTGTGTGATTTTGTACGTCATTTTACGTTGTTCGATACCTTGGTGTTGATCAAAGTTGATTAAAATCACCTCAGGTTGTTGTTTGACCTTAACTCAAGGTAATACGATGGAGTCATTGTTACGGTTTGGTGTCAGCTACTTACTGAAAGTGATTTGATTCTAGCGCATAGATATTTGATTCAATTTTATTTCAAATGTTTCTACTTGTTCTGAGTAAGTTATTTTTGTATCAAATAAACTATTGGTTTTAAGGTGGTATTCATCACGAAATGACATCAGTTTAAAAACCGTTAGAAACCTGGAAGCACCCGACACCTGCTTTATTCTCGTATGCGGTCAACCAAGCTGGCATTATGTGATGGTCACACTGTTTCGCGAACTGAGGAATACCAACCCAAAATAAATAAATTCCTACAAAATTCCAAACTAAAATTAACTACGAGTAGGTACACTCAATGGCACTGTTGATGTGTAATTTTTTTTATATATTTTATTACGGATCATTTGTGTTGCATTTGCTAATGTGTCAGTTGTACTTTGGTATCTCTAGATAATACTTTTATGCTACACATTACTCAATACAGAACAAGTTCAAGCCACTTTAGCAACAGCTGAAATAACTAATCAGACTTCTCTGTTTCATGAAAATCTGCCTTTCCAGTCGAGATAAAGAAACCTAATTGGTTATTTCGATCATTACTAGGGTGGCCTTTAAAGTCGCCTGGAATATTCGAGTTTGTGCTGTTACAGTGAACGGCTTTAAAGACTATCCTAATAACTTCAGAGATTATCAATTATGATCCTCTTATCTTACAAAAACTAACCACCCAGCCAAAATGCTGAAACCTGATTGGTTACATCGACAGTTGCTACAGTGGCCTTTAGAGTCACTCCAATACATCTTGAGTGGTGATAACATGAGACGCCGCACACACACATTTATATTTTTAATTTGATGAGTTTCACAAAGTAGTTCACCTTTAATGTGCACTATACATTACTTGAAAGTAGTCAATCCACTTCCATACAAAATGAGAAAAACTGCTGAGCTGCAAACTATAAGGTAGAAAAAGTCATTAAGTAAATACTACTAGGATGGCTGAGTGGATTGTAGTGCAAACAATGCTTCTAAAGTGTACTGAAACAGTTCAACTAGCCATAAGAATCCATGCTTTACTGAGCCACAAAAACACCAGAAGACAAGTCCTGGCCAATAACAGTGAGGACGATTTTTTTATTGAACTAATATACATAAGTACGTATAGAATTTTAATGGACACAAAATCGCACAAAAAAATGCTTGAATACTTCCTCCTATTTTGTTCATCACATAACTTACTTATCCAATGGGATTATCCTGGTCACATTGAACTGTACTCGAATTATGAAGCTCAAAATTTTCTTCTGTTTTGTGACCTGAAATCCTAAAATGTTAATTTCTACTTTAAACACCTTCTGTCCATGACTAACTGTTGCTTTATTCCAACTTAAATTCTTCAGCTTGACAACTATCCATACCACATTCCAAAATGTAGTCTGAATATGCTATTCTATGGAATATTCTTTACTGATTTACCACAGTCTTTTGCAAACTGTTTTACAGTTGTTCTCAACGTTTTCTCAGTTTTACAATTATCTACACAGAAAAAAGCTCATGTACATGGTACAATAAGAAGAATATGGACGAAAAACATATAGGAAAGCTTATAAATTAATTCATCATTTGAAGAAATTCACTAAGTCTTGGATCTGATCTCAACTTCTTCTCTAGTGCCATATACTTTTGTGGTGCTGTACGTTTATGCCAAGCCAACATTGACTCGAGTGTGGTTATCTTGAAGGCTGCATCATTACAATATTGTAGGTATTCTTGTTCATCTTCTTTGCTTAAATTAATCTGATTTAAATGATACCATTGTTGTTTCTTCTGTAGATTTTCAGTTTCTTTTTCAAAACGTGATTGTATAATATTTGCTTTAGTAATTAAACGTTGTTTAAAATCTTGTAGACATTCTTCACGGAGTGTAAATGCTTGTTCACGTGTTAATTTATTATCAGTCATTTCAATCTGAGCAAGAAATGGTTCTAAATAGTCCAAATCAGTTTCTTTACAACGACTACGTTCATTTTCAGCTATTCGTTCCAATTCTATACGTAATTCTTGTGCATTTAAATTACGCAGTGTATCAAATAAGTCAATGTTCAATGTTACGTGTAAATCTTCTTTTGTACGTTTGTTTAATATTGACTGTATTTCATTTTCAGATTTACGTACTAAATCCTTTGATTTCTCTTCTTCTTTTAATAAATTAATAAGCATATTGTATATTTCTACTTGTGTTTTAGGCTTTGCAAATAAATCAACCTATTGAAAAAGACGGAATAAAACAAAAATAACGATGTATAACTACCATAGTCTAATTGAATGCATTTTTCAATAATTTTCTGTAACAGTGAGGCTATGTAATGTAAAACAATGGTAATTACCTATTGAAAATTAGGTGAATTGATCGTAATAAAGAAGTGAATGAAACCTTTGCAACCTCCATGAGGCTGTTGCCCCGTGAGAGATTAGGATTCATGTCACCCAGTGCGTCAGTCAGAAATGTTACCACGAAGCCCTTTGTGTTGTGAATGACCTCCTGTAGAACTGGTCACTGGAGAGTAAGCAATTTCATGTTGCCTAGTTTTCAGTACTGACCGAATTATACAGATTATTTTGTAACGTGAACATCAGTCTAAAAGCACCGTCAGATTGAACAAACTAGAGGAAACCCAATTGAGTAATGGGAGTGTAGATCAGTTAGCAATCTTATATTAAGAATGGATTCTGTTAAAGAAGAGGTAAAATCAGTCATAAATTTTGAAGGTGACAGACAAAGTTTAGGACAATGTCATTGTAAAAGGACCATATTTTAAATCTGTGTATAGATGAAAAAGATTATACATGCTACTGGCCAGGAAAATTGCAAAATTACAAACTCCAACAAAGACGTTCAATTCCAGTTTAATGACGAACTTTACCATCAAACTAATGGGGTGACCATGGGGTGCCTACTAGGCTCCATATTGGCAGATATCTTCGTAACCAATCTAAAGAATGCAAAACATAAAGATGCAAGTGGATAGAGAAAATTTTACACCACACATATCGACGACATTTCTATTACTTGTATCGGTTTATCCCTAGCATCGAATCTGTTAGTATGTTTTAGTAACACTGGTACCAACAATGGGTTAACCATGGAATACGAAAAGGATGGAATCTATTTGGCGGGTGGCGGTGGAATCTAGGATACGCGTTTCCTCCTGTCTGTGACTTGTCAGATGGATGTGCCTGCATCCTAGTGAGTGATTTTGCTTCCACTGAGACTCAAACACAGCGTTCATCGCTTCTAAAGTCAAAGTAAGTTCCAAATAGAAAGAAACGTTCGTCCTGGATTCCACTGTTAGCCACCAAACAGATTACAATATAATAAATTTCCCGGCAGTATCGAAGTATCCGCGTAAGATCCCATCTGTCAACACAAGTCGAGCAATTCAGCTCAGTATAGCAAGGGGAGATTAAAAGTATCAAAAAAAAAAATAATGGAATTTTTGATTTTGCCGTATACAGAAGTAGGACAGACGGTACACTCCAAAGGTTCATTCATCGAAACCGCATATGGAATGGTACCCACCTGAATTTCAATAGTTTCTCTTGCGTTAACTAAAAACAGGCGTTAGTTAAAACACTTTTTCACAGAGAAGAATTGATGTGTTCCAGTGACAAACTGCAGAAAGAGTTGTGAACGGCTGAAAGATGCTCACAGGACAATGGATATACTCAAACATTTGTCAAAAGATATGTAAAAGTTAAGTGCAAATGCATAGGGGTACTGCAGTCAGCAAAACACCTGTATTCATATACATCAATTTTGAAGGTAACGACACTTCAGGAGACACTAACAGACGATTGAAGACATCACTGGGTACAAATTTTCTTGTAACCAGGTAAATTCCTGTGTACCAACCACTTGATAACTAGTTCAGTAAAGCGTCAACAGATACCCTTCTTATATTACCTCCAAACGCCTATTATCAATTTACGTGTAGCTTTCGAGCAGCTACTTTGAAGGAATACAAAGAAGGGCATGCCTTAGATTTTCTGAATTCCAAAGAGTTTACGACACTAGGGGAAGTAACAAACTGAACACTACAACCATTAGGTATCTGACTGACAGTGGACATCGGAAAGGCATCTTTAATTCCTCCGCGATAACAAACAAGCAAATAAGCTCAATTCTCCTGAATTTCACTGACGTCATAACCATCAAATGCCTCAAAACTTATTTTGTGTTCATAAAGGAAGCTGCAGACTGACTACTTTTGTTAACTTCGATAGCCTGTTCTTGACTGTTATTTGATTACATCATCACTTATCAAATTTATGTATTTATTTCTCTACTCTTATAATCCGAGTCATCTTTTGTTCATATAGAATGCGTGCAACTAGTTGAGTTTAACTCACAACATTCTCCATATTTTGTTTAGCATATTACTTGTCGTATGACTTCCTTACGTAATTTCATCATGTTAAATCCATCAATATTTTGATTACTACTCCTACTTTTGTTCGAGAAACTTCCACTGAGTTATGTGCATAATTGTGATAGTTTGTTGCCATTTATTAACCTTTCTTGAATTTGCCCTTTGAATTGACTTTTGTTCTATAACTACTTCTGTTCATCTCAACCACTAATCGATATTCTGTTACTTTCTTTCAGTGTTCAATTTTCATCAAAATTGCATATACTTTGGTATTCAGGTTTTAAGTAACTGAGGAAAAGACCCATTGAAGTGAAATTGATCCGTTTTATCTTCCTCCCATTGTTGTTCTTCCTGTTTCCAAGTTTTAAAAAAGATAAATTTGTGCGCGAAATTGTCATTTCATCTAAACATATTTTTGACAAAGTAATCCGCAAAAGAATATTAACTAGATGAAAAGAAATGTTTACTTTGTGGTATCAAAGATTTAAGTAGACAGAAAAAATATGATCAATGCATGGAGGTTTTTTGAACTTTTCCATCTTATCAGACAACCTTGAAAAGTGAATGCTACTTGAATAAAACAAAAATGACTACAACACATTTTCTTGCATTTTTGTGAGGTAATAAAATATTTAAATAGTTTGAAAGGAACATGATTAGTAGATTTACTTGTTTCATTCCTAGACCAAAATGTTTATTTTTCCCATTTTCTTACGGTAAAGCAAAACTGAAAAAATCCTGTATGCTTCTATATCGAATCATTTTTTACCGTCAACTTCTCCTATTATGAATTGACTCGCTGGTTAACAAATAAACTGGAATTGACTCGGAAACAGCAACAAACTAGTCAGAGCTTAAAGCATAATTTCAAACAAAGAAAGCTGAATCAACTAAATGATCCACATGAACTCATGATGAGCTGTGTTGGGAGATGTGATTTCTCTGATTGGGGTCCTCGAGAAGATACAAATCAGTGGTTAGAGACTCTTGGTGAAATGGAGGAAAGTTGGTCACGGTGGCGCAGACGTATTCACTACTTGACATCTTTTAATGCTTGTTTATTTCCCCTTATCTTTGTCTTAAAATTCCTTATGCTGTTACATAACTTCGTCTACTTTGATATTACTCCTTTTCTATCTAAATGTCCTTTGTGTACTACTGTGAAGTATGGCGACTTGAACCGATGCACCTGTGTACGAGTTTACACGTTGATTTTGTCTTGTACATTAATTCAAGTGTGGTATTGTCACACAAATGCACAGTAAGCCATGCATATTCTTCAACCTTAGCTTTTTATTTGGTTGGGTAATTTGATGTGATTATTTGATTCCTTTCTAGTTACGTTGTATTTCACTTGTGACTAGCAGTAGAATCCAGGAAGAGCGTTTCGTCCTATTTGGGAGTTGTAAACTGGATGCAAACTGGATGTCTGACTGACTGACTGACTAACTGACTGACTGACTAACTGACTGACTGACTGACTGACTGACTGACTAACTGACTGACTGACTGACTGACTGACTGACTGACTGACTGACTGACTGACTGACTGACTGACTGACTGACTGACTGACTGACTGACTGACTGACTGACAAAGTCAACGTAGAACCTCGCATACAGGTGCACCGGTTCAAGTTGCCTCACAGTAGTACACAAAGAACAGGTGGATAGAAACGAGTAATATCAGAGTAAATAAATTTGCGTAAGAGAATGAACAATCTGAAGATAACGGTTGATGCAAACACTCAAGCTTTAGAAGACATCAAGAGAATACATCTGCACCGTTGTGACCGATCTTCAGTCATGTCACCAGAAGTCCTCAACCACCGGTTCCTTCCATCTCGGTGACCCCAACAAGGCAGTTTACATCTCCCAAAACGGTTCAGTTCAACAGTCAGGGACTTCATGAACTGGTGCCAAGTCTTGGTCTGATCATTCTGAATCCTCTTCCAACTAAATCCAAGGAAGGTGGCAGAGCAGTATGCACAACATATGCTGAAGCCATTTCAGCCGATGGAGGTCTATAACCTCACCAACCAACTTTCCTGTCTTGTCTAGTACCCTTCGCCTCACCCGAACATTACTCACATGGTGATCCCACAAAATGCAAGCAGTGATAAGAAGATATCTGTGACTGAAACCCTGCAACCATCTAATGTCGTCTACTTTTAAAGGACGTCTCACAGCTGTATAACAGAACAGAACAGACTGCAGCGCAGTATACTCATCCTTGATAGATGGCCGGACATCCTGCCAGAGTGACAGATGAAGCAAGTTGGCAAATGCCAAACTGACCTTCTGTATCCGAGCTGACATTACGTCAGCAAACAACTCGTTCGGGCTGATGCAACTTCCCAGGCAACTGAGGTAGTCAACTCGAGCTCAAGACTGGTAGCTCCAAACCCCAGAGCTTTACCCATTAGGCTACTGAGACGTGAGTGATACCTCTCCACAGATTTGTTACATTACCTTTTGGTCTCAGCTTGGACTAGGCCTCTTGGTAAAATGTTGAAATTATCTTTTTCCAAACATACTATGATACATCCAGATACAGCCTCAATATAATGTCAACTTTTCACTAGGTACTAAATATTTTGATACTATTCGGTCACGTCTTGTTCACAGTTTATATTAATGACTTTACAAATTCGCGAAAAGCATTTTAAGTTTAGAAAGTTTACATACCATCAGTAAGAACGCACCGAAATGAACTCATCCTGTTCTACGGATCTACGCATTTTTCGTTCACCTAGGTTTGTGAAGGAAAATGAGTGCAAACCTACTACTTATTTCAAAGTAGCATTCGTCACAGACTGAAATCAGTTGAAAACCTAAGAGTACTCAGAGTGGAACCTACCGTACTATACACCATCACGACCCCTTCCACGTCAGGGATTGAACTGAGGGACTCTAGGTCTCACGGCGAGTGCATCAGCCACCCAACCACTGGGTCGGTATCCAACAAATCACATTATCTTATACATGTCCATTCTCAATATGCGGTGATTACCCACCAAGGTTTTCATTTGGTATCCGTTTCACTTCCGAATGCTTGATGCCATATGTCATTGATTCTCACCAGAATTTCTAGATAATTATTTCAAAGCATTTCATCCATGAGCACTATGCAGCAATTTGGTTTCAGGTTTATAGGAATTTCATTTCCAGTTAGTTCCATCATGGTACGAGTACTGACGAGGAGTCCTTACTAAGATGAAATAGATGTCCAGTGCCCCCAGGTTCCAACGGTTTTCCAATTGGTGTCAGTTCGTAGGGAATCCCACCTTGAAATAAAATCCCCATAGACCTCAAACTAAATTACTTCTTATTTGTTTTTCTAAGGTAAAACGTTTACTTATTTAAGTATACTACTCACACCATATAAGTAATACAGGACGAAACGCGCATCCTGGATTCCTCTGCAAGTTGCCAAGACCAATGTAACATCATGATCATTCGGCAGTATCGAGACATCCGTATAGGATCCCATATGCCAACGGATGTCGAGGAGTTCAGCCCTGTATAGCAACGGAAAATTGTAAATGTCATTGCAACAACTGAAACTCGTTGCACAAGTGGTGGCTATCGTGCCTCAGTGGCTTAGTGAATAACGCTCTGGTGTCTGGAGAGAAGGGTACTGGGTTTGAACTTTGGCAGGAACAACATTACTCACTGTGGTGCAGGTACATCCAGTTGACGAATCCCAAATAGGACGAAACGTGAGTCCTGAATTCCTCTGCTAGTCATCAAGATGAATATAAGTAATATAGTGTTTTTGATGCGAAATTCAACTCACTTGAAAGGTTGTATGCGTATCAGGATAAAGGTGTAGTGTATCTCTTCTGTCTTCTGAAGGTGGTGGTTTAATAAACTCTCGAGTGCATGGAATAATACGTTCTTTGCCAACATGATAGGTAAGAAATATTCTTTCTTCAGTTATGTTGAACACTCGTTCAGCGATATCTTCATCAGCATCAACTGTTTCATCACGTGTAAATCTTTCAATAATTTTATCGATATTCAGTTGATTAGATGTTGATAATGTAAGCGCATGAGAATTTTCTTTATTCTGAGGTGATGCTGGACCAAATTTCTTCATTTTTGCACCGAAATGTACTTCACGATAGTATAGACGATCATGACGACTTTTGAAATGTTCAATCATTGTAGTTGTTGTTTGTTCACGTTTTTCTAAACCATCCACTCTAGCGTCATGATAAAATGTCATATAACGTACAGTATGTAAACTTTGTTGAGTTTTAAAATAACCATGTTCAGCAAGATGGATAGCATCACGACCATGATCAAATTTCTCTACTATCCAATTAGTTTTCAGTAGTGTAGTGCGACTAATTAATTTATCCTCTCGATTAGCAAATGTTTCCCTAATTTCAGTAGGATTTGTTAATTCACGATCTTGATAAATTGTTAGGCGTAGAACAAGACCATCATTCTGTGAATATGGTGCATAATTTTCCAATAATGAATACTTGTATCTCTTTTTCTTAAAGCCTTTTGGATAACGCAATTCAAATAATCCTTGTTCAATATTAATTGGTAATGTCCAAGTTGGTGGTAAGTCAAATAATAACAGTTTATCCTGTAAATTAGCTAATGGTTTAATATGTACACCACCTGTATGTAGACTAGGCAAACTACCGTTACTGGCATAATCTTCGTAACTATCTGAACTTAAAGGTGGTTCGTGCTTATCTGTTTTTAATTTAATTGAATTAGGAACAATCAGTTGAGAATCACACCCAATAGACTTTTTATTTCCAAAGCTAAGGTAGTTAAAATTCAATGTTGATTGCACACTATCAATATCACATGATGAAGGGATTAATTCAGTTGGCTTTCTGTGTGGAATTTTTGTTGACTGGACAGTATCATATTTGATAGATAATCTACAGGTCGGTAGTATGTATTCCCAGCATAAACCATCGGTTAAATTGTATTTTAAATGTGATATTCCAGTTGAACAGTCTTGCATATTCACCCAGTAGTTATGATTATTCCATAGACTTTCTATGCCTAGATACATTGAACAGTCTAATGGTTTAGCAAGACCAGTCAGTGTTTCAATAAAAAAACCTTCAGGCACTTCGCGTTTTCCCGGCAATACTAGTATCCATGCATGTACTCGAAGACCGAAAAGTGGGTCAGCAGTTGGCTTGTATAGTTCTTCTTCAGCTAATTCGGCCTCCTTTTTTGCTTGTTTATTGCGTTCTATCTCGGCCTGTAATTCTCTAGCCACAACTGCTTGTTCATACTTTGATGTCAAATCTTTGGGAGGTTTGATAAGATATTTTTTCGGCTTCGGTTCTTCCTCTTCTACTTCTTCTACCTTTTGTTCAACAAGATATGGACAGGTTTCTCTTGTTTCATCCAGATAACAACACTCTCTAGTTGCATAACCACTTACCACAAAGGCATCATAGCCAACTGCTATTAGTAGTGAACACAGTAGTGTAGCGTATTCAAAACAAGTTCCTTTTTGCAGTTCAACTGTAGTCATTGGACTTAAAAGGCGTTTTGGCAGCTCGGTTGATGGTACCAACGGTACGAAATCAAGAAAATTGGCAACAAACTTGGCTGCACCATCCCATGTATCTAACTCTGGATGAGGTAGTTGAGTTGTGGTTAGTGTAGTACAAACGAATTTCTCTATACCACATTCATTTTTTGGTGTTAACAAGAGTTTTGTCCGATCAGGACATAGGTGAGCATATTGTCGGCGAAAATTTTCACAGTATCAATAAGACGTCGTTCTTTCAAGTTGTTCTCTTTATACGATTGTGGAAACGTGAATGAATCAAAGCTATCCGGAAGTTTAGCATAAGCATCAGGTACATAGAGTGGATTCAATTCTTTATACTCTTGACTGACATTTCCATTGATTTCATTAACAGAAGATTCGTTACGATCACTGAAATCTTCAGGTACTGTAGTTTCATTAGCCTGGGGTCTGTTTATCAACTCACCTTCTTCCTGATTATCCCAGTCATTAGCATCATCAGCAGCAGCATCATTATCATTATTCTCTTCCAATATCACATCATTAGCAATATCCACATAGTCTGTTGCCCTCTGGGTTATATCCAGCTCAGTTCCAGATGGTATATTCATTTTAACCCGAAGTTTTTTTCAGACTACGTAAGCCTCAGTCACAGCAAACAAATGGTATGTTAAAATTGACAATTACGTGAAACTATATACACAAAAAGTAACTTTAAAGATTCTAATTTAAATTTGTCGCAAAATAAGTACTAATTGATACATTTTTCTAAACAAACGTTGCTATATTATACAGTTATGAGTATATGAGCTAAAGAAGTCATATCCCACAATAAACCAATGAACTAAGAGAACAAGATCTGTTAATCAACAAGTGTAATAAAATGTCTACCACTGAGTTCAACACAGTGGCTCAATTGTTTCCTTGGATCCCAAGACTTAATGGTATTTGACATGGTCTCTTGTAGGGTTTGTGGGTGCACACAAGTGGTAAGTTCCAAACTGGGATTCAACAGATTTTCAGTGCTTCCATTTGGCTAAGTGATATCAATAGGTGATGAAAACACTCCTTTAGAGGTATGAATTTAGAGCGAGTAATAAATATGAGGTAGGCTGAATTTTAGCAGGAATTTTCAGCTAAATGATCTACTACATACAGAAAAACAGATGATATCTCAAAATTCACATGAATAGATGCAGAAACACTTTTAAAAGCTCCATCAAATACCATTTTCTGAACACAGTAACATCATTTTATTAGACAGATTCTCTTCAAGTTTCATACAACCTTCTCGTGGCAGGCAACCTGCCCCTGATGGATGGACCATATCTTATACAGCTCGAGTCACGAAGAAGTCGTGGATGTGCATTGCGCCGCTGATGAATCCCAAGCTACAACAGTATGTCCGTCCGGATTCTCATCTCTTCAATGATCTTCTACACAATGTCCATCAAGTGATGCAAGCCCTTTTGAAAATAATCGGTTCTCCCTCCAAACTGAATGTCTTCTTCTGGTTATAAACTTGCCTCTCTCATGGAATACATTCTACCCTCAAACTACCTTATTCAATCACAGAATTTAGGAACGAGCAAAAATTTGAAAATAAATGCTGTATATATTAAAAATACCAAAACGTTTTTCAATATAAAAAATAAACTTACGCTTAAAACATACACTATAAACTCATGCCTAGTTGAACAAAGTTGTGTAACCAGTTGAGCAAATTAACAAGTTTAATAACCTATAGCTGGATTCAGTTAATATCCGCTTGAGACCTACCATCACTGCTTGGCAGTTCAACCTGCCATACCTTATACTAGCACATCAAATTACAAGGTGACAAGATGAACGACAAAAAACTTGACAGAAATGAAACCAAAAGCTGTAGGAAGTTAAAGAAATAAATGAATAAAATGTTAAGCAATACCGAAATTCGGTATCACGATATCAAGGCGAATATATATCCACTGCACATGGTCACGAGCCATATCACTCAGTCTTTTGAATCGCCTGCTTCGATTGTCTGAGAGGGCCGTTACCTAGAAGTCTACATTTCTCTACAGGAATTAGACTATATATAAACCATAAACCTACATTACTTGTGGTTGGTTTGTAGTGAATAAAAGCGTAGCCTAAGTGCAGAAGACTAGTTTCGATTTTATAACCATCTTTACCAGCTTAAAGCTCAAATTTTTAATGTCTTCTATCATGTGTTTGTGTGTGTATGCAAGATACAGCTGAAGTTGAAATGATGAAGAATATTTGTAGCTCATGTTGACCGTCTTGGTTGTGTTGCATTCTGCATGAGCTCAGCAGTGTGTTCATCGAATGCTTATTGCTTAAGCCATCAATTTGTGAGGGTAGATCGATTAGACATATTGATCAAGTGGGAATTGTTCCCGTTAACCTACATAAAATCACTTCAACCAACAACTGCCATACGATGCACAAATTAGTCACTACTGAAGAATACATGCCAATTACTTTAAGCTGACCAGTCTTTCGATAAAAGGCCTAAGGCGCTGCGTAAAATAAAGTCGAATCACTCTCAGCAGATGTCAATGTCCTTACTGGATAAATAATAATCTTACTGACAAAAGTTTAAGCAAACATGGTTTTCAGGAAGTTTCGTTCAACTATTCAGTAAAATCTAAATATATTAGACAGCGGGTCTATTACAACACCAAAAGACATGACATGGTGAATGTATATATCACAATAATCACCAGGAATACTGGCAACGAGCGGAATTTTACACAAAGTAGTTTACCTCGGTTAAAATATTTTTCGTATGTATCCCGACAACCAATTAGGTGAATTCAAGTGAATAACTACACTTGGGTCACATATACACATCTCAGAAACACAGCATTCATGATTCATGTTTACAGAATGTTGGCCAGGGATGTCTGTTGTCCAGTTTTGCATCGGGTACTGACAGTGAAGGCTCTAAAGGGAAATCAGTAGCGGGGCTTTGGGATAATGAGAATAGCGTCTTAATGGCTTATTTTGTCACAGTTGTTAACAAAATTGAGAGTCGAGGTAGTTCTAAGGGGTCTTATTTCGGTTTTATGAAGTAAAGAAGTAGAGATGCAAAGTAAAGAAATTTATGCTTACTTCCCGGATATCCACACCCTGGAAGTTTTTTTCTGTTTGGCACTTAGAGATGGCAGAGGCGGAGAATCCCCCAAAATCAAAAGCCTAAGGTTTGATGAGACTCATTGTTTGCATTGATTTTCACATTTTTAACGGACTCGCTAAACTGAAGGCACAGTCAAGCACTTACTTCATTTGGGACGTTCCCATGTTACATTGCTCTTCTCTTACACCATCCTCCGGCCAGTTGGTCGGAAGGCATCGGTTATCCGTCAGGATTGATCAAATATGGTATTCTACTTAACCACTCTGCTGTCTTCTTACTTGATCTCGCACTCGTGGGTATATAACAATTACAAATAATTAGTGGATAGCTTTCGCTTCTGTCAAACCTGCATAAGACCCGTTATTAAGGGTGAAAGAATAGATTTACGTAACTACAAAACCCTTAGGACATATATATATATATATATATATATATATATATATGATCTGACTGAGTGTGAAAGTGCTGATTTACTTACACATGTAAATGTATCTGCATGTGCACACTCAGTGAATTTTACCATAAAAAATGTATTTACAGCAGTAATCAGCATCTAAACCTGAAAGTCTGTAATCGCTACCCAAATTTTTAAACAGCACTGATTTAAATTGAAATTAACTTTCGTCACAATTGTAACAAAATCAAATTAGTGGTTTGATTGACCAATCTAAAACTTCTAAGCAAGACCAGTTAGTCCCGTCACCTCTCACTCAAGGGATTTTCTTCAAAGAGCATTTCAATCAAATTGTCTCTCACAGCAGTTACTGGGATCCACTTTGGCAGTATTCAATCAAACAGCTTACCATATTCAAAATAATCTCTGCTTATGCGTAACATGGCAACCAACATCCAATATCCAATGCATTTAGTTTCAGTTTCAGTTCAACATCCAATATCTTTTTAACGAGCTTGTATAAACTAGTTGGTTTCTTCGCACTCGCTTCTTGGTCTTGCGGAACGGCTCCAGATCTTTGGCGGAATCCGATGCCGTAGGTCCAGCCACTCGTCTGCTCTGATTTACAGAACAAGAAGTTAAGTGTTGGTTTGTTTGCCTTGGACTGTGGTGCAGTTGGCTTCTCCAGATGTCGAGCTGCCAGACAGTTGTTAGGACTGGTCGCTGGAGAAGGTTCGGGATAGCGAAGAGAAAACCCTAGAAAGTGTTTGTGTGAGTAGAAGAAAAGAGGAAAAGTGAACTAGTGGAGTAATCTACTTACACCCAAGTAAGGTGAGTAGGGGTGCAAAGGTATGAGGAACTAAGGTAAGTGAGGCTAACTTATGGCAAGTGGAAGGGGTGAAAAGGGCTTAAATGGTCACAATAAAAAGAAAACTGGCTGGGGTGGCTTCACATCACTTCATATTCCAGCTATGCGTGGGTAGACCGTGAGTCTCTGCATGACTGTCTAGCCTCTTCTTGAAGCTTTCAACAGTTGGGGCGGACACCACCTCTGCTGGTAGTGCGTTCCAGTGCCCGCAGACTCATAGGTAGAAGAACTGTGAACGCACATGCGTTTTTGACCTCTGGTGTGCTATTCTGTTGGGTTTCCTCGAGGATCTCCATAGTGGCCACTCAATAGGACTCCTCTGTTTGGGTGACTTGGGTTACTCATTATTTTGTAAGCCATTATTAAGTCGCCACGTATCCTTCTATAGCTGAGAGAGTATAGACCTAGGTCTTTGAGTCCATCCTCATATGGTTTCGCTGCATTCCAACAACCCCTTTTGTGGCTCGCCTCTGGACTTTCTCCAGTAAGTTCGCGCCTCTTTTCAGCTCTGGTGGAGCGAAGACGTTATGGACCTCTAAGTGGGGCCGTATGTAAGTCTTGTAGAGCTTCAGAAAGAGTTCTGGGGTGAGGGCACCCAGTTGTCCACGCACAAAGTGTAGTACCCCATATGCTTTTGAGACATCACCTGGGTAATTGGAACTGGTGTCCAGTTTCTCCGTCACCGTTAGACCCAGGTCTTTTTCTTCTGTGGTATGAGATAGACGTGAACCACAGAGATAGTAGGATGTTTTCTGGGGATCAGGAGTGCGGAAAAACATGGACCGGCACTTATCCAGATTAAATGTCAGTTCGTTATTAGTTCCCCATCCCTCTAGTGTTCTGAGGTCCTTCTGTAATGCCATAGATTCCACCTGGCAAGTTATTGCCCTCCATAACTTGACATCATCAGCGTATAGGAGAATCGGGGAGCTGATATGTTGCGGCAAGTCACTTACGAACAGTAGGAACAACAGTGGGCCCAAGATTGCTCCTTGTGAGACACCGGATGAGGATGTTCTCCAAGTTGAGTAGACCCTGTTGACTTTCGTGCAGAACTCCCTGTTGTCTAAGTAGTTCTGCAGCCACGATAGCACCTGGCTGCGAATACCTAACCCAGCTATCTTATGTATTAGGATATGGTGTGAGACGGTGTCAAAGGCTTTGGCGAAGTCCAGAAAAATTACGTAGACCGGGACCTTGAGATCCCAGCATGCTGTCCAGTGATCATGGGCCGTCAGGAAGTTGGAGGCACAGGACCTACCCTTCCGGAAGCCATGTTGAGCGTCACTGAGTGCCCTTGGTGTCCAGATATTCCCTGATACGGTCGTCCATCACACTTTCCATTACTTTTGATATTACTGATAGAAGTGCTATGGGTCTATAACAGTTGGGATTCTGTCTGTCTCCTCCTTTGAAGATGGGAGAAAGGATAGCCCGTTTCCACTCTCGTGGGAGCTTTCGCTCATCCAAGGAGTGTTGGAAGAGGTTGCAGAGTGGGACACTTAGGGCACTTGCACATTCTTTCAACACAGATGGGAGAATGTCGTCGCACCCTGGGGGTTTTCCCGAGCTTAACTTTAAAAGCTTGTCGAGAACAACAGCGCGAGTTATCTGTATTTCGTGTAACTCAGTAGCATCGGGTAACGTTGGGGCTGTTCGTGCAATTGGTACGCGCACTTTCTTGATGGAATGTTGAGCTGTGTCAAATGTGGTGCTCAGCATTTCAGCAATCTCCTGTCCAGAGAGGTTTTCTCCGTTCGGACCTTTTATGACACATGCTCTTGGCTTGTCGATTTTTTTTGCCATGAATCGGTAAAGGTTTTTAGGGTTTGCCTGAAGCCTTTCGGCGAGGTTGGGCTGGAACGACCTCCTATCTCCCGCACCCTTATGTTGCTTCGTTTCCACAGAGTCATGTATGCGTCATGGTCGTCCTGTTCTCTGGAGAGTCTCCATGTGTGCCATGCCCTTCTCTTGGCTTTTAGAGGCGCTCAGTGCCCCGTTTTAGCCATGACGTTCGCTTCTGGTTGTTGTTACCGCGAAAGGGACGTTTTGTGAGACGGCCGCCTTAATGATATCTTTTACTAGTTCCCAGTGCTGGTCGATCGACAAGGAACACCAATCCACTGGCCACGAAGCTGTTGAAAGGCTCTTGTTCATACCTTCGTAATTTGCCTTGTTGTAACATAGGTAAGGGCGAGGTCCCTCCCATGATAGCTCTTCACTAAATACCAGGTCGAACGTTACCGTAGCGTGATCGCTACTTCCAAGAGGGGTTTGTACCTGAACGTTTTCAACCAGAAGAGGATCAGTAGTCAGTAGGTAATCCAGTTAGATGGTTTACCATCTGACCCCCAGCGGGTGTTTTCGCTGATTTTTTCCTGCAGTCCAGCCATTTGGATGGCGTTTAGCAGGTTACAGTCGAACTTCCGGCTCGGGGTAGTGCCACCTTGCTCTAGGCTGAGGGTTGGAGCGTTGAAGTCGCCAGCTATTAAAATCTGGTCGTACCTTATAGTTGACACTGTGGATATTGCTTGGAGTAGTTTTTGGTTGTGTTCCAGGTTGCTATTAGGGGACCTATAGATTCCTCCAACTAGGAATTTGGTGTTTGACCGTGAAGTGGCACCAGATAGAGTCTGGGAGCTCTGTCAGCGGTGTCAGTGGTTTGTTCACTTCTGAACCACTTGTTCGTGTATATTGCAACCCCCTCCGTCCCTATGTTCCCTGTTTTTCCTGAACAGAATCATATCATCTATGTTAACTTCGGTGTCAATTATGTCTGGTGACAACCACGTTTTGTCAGGATCATGATTTTTGGGGCGAGGTCGAGACAGAGGTATCGGAGCTCTGGCATTTTACTTCGGAGTCCTCTCACGTTGCTGTAGAGACACTTGGAGGTGTTTCTCGTAACGTGAGATGTCTCTGAGTTAACTAGTGGCACTGGTTTGGATGTGGGGGTTTCTACTGACTGGCCAGTTCCAGTGGAACTGGCCCAGTTAAGTTTTTTCCCTCGTCGACTGGTGCATTCGGTGTTGAGTGGAGGTTTCTGGTCTGACTCTCAACATTTCGGTTTAGGGTTACGGTGGCCTGAGCACAGGGCGTAACTGCTGTCTGTTGTTGTCGCAGTGTTCTCGGTCTGCTTTCACAGCAGCGAACGTTACCGCTTATGGTGCTCTTAACTTTGTACCACGTCTCCAGCACTCTGGTGAGTACTTCTGGGGATACGAAGTTGCCAGCCATTAGTCTAGGTGAGGTCATGGTTATCAGATGCAGGGGGCGTGGTAGTCTGCTGCGCAGCTGCGACCCCGCTCAGCTCCATCCGAGCCGATAACCACTCCTATTGTTTGACGTCGTGTGTGTAGTTCTCACCTGGGGTACCGGTCACCATTTCAGGTATTCCATGTACGACCATGGTTATGGGTTTTAGTGGACCAGCTGCTTCTCGAGATGTCTTTCTTGACACCCATGATCGGTCAGGTCTGGCTCTAATGTTGGACGATCTGTTGATGACCAGGGCGTGTGACAGTAAGGGGAACTTTTCAGCGTCCCTAGTTGAGACTAGAGTCACTCTCATCGGCGGAGGCTTCCTTGCGGCTGAGTGGGTGCCTTTGCATAGTCGACACAGTTTTGCCTCGAGAACGCCCAGACCTAGCGTGGCACAGAGGGAGTCCCACTGCTGCCTGTCAAACTTGTCCTTATGTTCCAGAAGGCTATCATCACAGACGGGAACGTTAAACAGAATGACAGAGCTAGGTCGGTCAGTGATGCCAATATTATTCTATCCTATAGATGCTTTTCACGGGTGCTTCGAGTTTTTTTCCACCCTGACTCATTCCCTATGTTGTCCACTGGTTGCTGTTTCTGGTGTGGCTGTATGGCTTGAGGTGGATGCAGTTGTCGTTGGTGTAGGCAGTGTTTTGTTCGGCTTAGAACCTCTCAGGTTTTCGGCCTTCAGTAGGCCATTGCCAAAATCATCTGGAGAGTGAATATCCTCTGTGACAGTGGTTTGGACGGATACCTGCTTTTTGATTACTGGAGATTTATCGGTTACTCTGAGTAAGCCTGAAGCTAGGTGCGGTCTCAGACGGCACTGTGGGCAAATGTACCAAAACCACGTGCACGGGTGACGCGTCATAAAGCTATAGTACTGATGTGGCACTTCTTTGTCACATCGGCAGTGCACCCATCTGTTGCACTCGAAGGCAGCATCACTTTTAGTGACAGTGAGAGCACATGTGTGGCAGTTGTCATCATGTCCATGCGGTTTTTCCAAACGTTTATGCCCTACTCTTTGACGTTTCTGCCTAGTGGTTCTCACTGGGGGATCGGGGTGGGCGCAGGGAGTAGCATGAGGCTCTGGGTTTACTTGACTAGGTAAAGTGACGCTTACAGTGCCGGGAGGACTGGTCGCGCGGCTAACCTCAAGTGTTGCAGGCCGTGATTGTGACCAACCGGGAGAGGAGGACTTGGGTGGTGCGTTCGTATCCTCAGTTGCTTTCTTTGCCACGCTTTGGCCCCTCGTAGCTCCAGCCCTGGAAACTACTGAGGATGAGGTGGCCAGTAACTGTGGCGAGATTGTACTCAAAGCATTTCTACCGCTTGCCTTTTTCGAGGTC